GTGTCAAACTCCACTATATTGTGGTAGTTTTGTGAATGGTGAACCAGTATGTGAACACGAAAATAATACATATTTTTGACCATATGACCCTTTATTTTAGATGATGTTTGTTTTTCCTTTTCAAACAGTTCCTCCCCTTAGAATATGCATACACCAGTAAATTACATCAATGATAACACAGATTATAATGACTTGTTCTGTAGTTACACAATTGGACTATTTTAGAATTGACTATGTGGTAAGGGGAGGCCAAAGAAAAGCTATTGGTATTGGACATGGCAACGCTTTGATAGATGTCTAAATTATAACCCCAATGAGTGAAGACAGTTTTGTTTTGCCACCATTGCGTATCTGTTACAAGCAGCCGCTGCGATTTGCTAAAGGCAGCCATTCAAAGTGCAATTTCAATTTGATTTTGCTTAATCTTGCAATCGTTCTCTGAACTTGTCCACACGCTCTGCTTGGCTCTCCAAAAAACACGAGCTATCCTAGTCCCACAAGATCCTCTCCAAACCAAATGAGCAATACCCACCAGATCAGCCATCACAAAGCTTCTGCATACAGCATAAGTATCGTTATAAAAACAATTCTATTTTGTTTTTTTTTCAAGATGCCGAGCTTTTTTCTCCTCTGCTGCTCCAATGAGAAACTAGGCATCCGTCGCCACAATGGCAGCTACCCAATTAAAACTCTGTTGGCCTCGCAATTCCTCAAGGTATTGCCATGTGACAGTTTAATTAACCAAGGCCCTTATCTTAATTTAGCAGGATCAAAAAGTTACAAACTGAGGTTATCTAAAACACACAAACATGAAAAAACCTCTCAAATCATCACACACTTGCACGTTTGTCATGAAGCAAAGCAAAACACAGCCACCCTCTCCATCCATCCATCCATCCATGTCTGTCAAAGCAAGAAAGCAGATAGGAGCAGAGCTAACCAATGTTACATAGCAATTCAATGTATGCGCTTTTCACTTCGGCTTGTTCCATATTGAATACAGCTATAGGGCCTGACTAATGTCATTTATTGGGATATATGTGACTGTCTAGGCATGTCGTGGGAGTTTAGGTTGACATGCTTTCTATGAATTTGAGCTGGTGGCTTAGGGAGACAGCAGGAGGGCCGGGCACCACGCTTCTTAAGCCAGTCCCCCACAGAGGCTGCCCCGCTGGCCCGCCCTGCTTTATCCATCACTCCATCCGTCCTTCCACCTCAAATCTATTCGCCCTTATCACTTTACTGTGAATCAAGCTGTTTCCACACTTTTTTCCCTTGATCTATTCAGACACCTATTTGCGGAGACGCACCGCTGGGATTTGGTCTTGGGGTTCAATGAGACACCAGACTATTGGACATGCTGTAAAATCAAAAGCGTTTCGTGTATGTAGAAAGTTATCCAGGCGAGGAAGGTTGAATACCATCTTAAAACCCACTCTAAAACTTTTAAATATTCTTTCACAGTGGCCATTGCAACAGAGGTTTTCTTTGAGTTGTCAATTGCTCAACAACAGATACAACAGTTCAAATACACGAAATGCAAAAAAAGCACATCGCACATTGGTTTAAAGGAAGCAGGATGACCAATGTCCATAAATGTTTATAAATGTCCATATATGTCATGTCCCAGATCATCACTGCCATCGGCCATCGGCAAGGAACAATTGAAACATCCAATGGGGTTTGCAATAGCTACTAAAAATGGCAATTAACTAAATATAAATGTTGTCCGAAAACAAAAAGTAAACTATTTTTTTGATTATGTGAATTTACTAATATTTTTTCACATTCTCACTCACAGTGACTTCATGGCAGCTCACACAAAAACAGTTCATTTGTAAAAACTCAAAATACGTAGATGCACAATCAGTTAACACGTGCCTGTGTTCTATCCCTTTCCATTAACATAATCGGTCAACTTTGCTATTTACATTAGAAGAACACACTACTGACCAAACATCATATTTAAAGCTGGGGTACTCAACTTTAGACACAGTTTTTCAACAGGAAAAAGGAAACTAATTTTCCAGATACAATACTTCTATTGGGACAAACAAACATGTATAATCCATGAAAAAAGTAGGCAGCTTTAACTATACTAACTGTACAGAGTCAAGTTTTACAATAGTTTCTGCCTGACGTTTGCACTTGGTATTTCCTCCAAAGGTTAATAAGGGAAATAGTTTTTTGTAACTATTGGGCGGCACTGTGGCTGAGTGGATAGCACTCTCGCTTCTCAGCAAGAAGGTCCTGGGCTCAAATCCCGGGCAGAACAGGGCATTTCTGATCAGTTCTCCCTGTGTCTGCGTAGGTTTCCTCTGGGTGCTCCAGTTTCCCCTACCACTAAAAACATGCACAATAGGTATGAATGTAAAATAGAGAGTGAATGGATGGTGTTGGTTGGGAGCTGATGCGCCAGTGTGTTCGGCGACTCGCTTCTGTCATCACCGTGTGTGGAATGATTGGAACAATATCTGAACTCTGAACATTGTAAAGCGCTTTGGTCCGTGGTCTGTAAAAATGCGCTATATAAATAAACATTAGTTACCTACTTACGAACACAAGATTCCAACCTATATATGGCCCTTAGTATGAATATATGCAAAACAAGATTGACCAAAAACTAGCATATTTGTTTTTATTCTATTTTATTTTAGTAGAAAATCGTTATCATTTTTTTCTTGTGCTTTGTTCTCTTCATTCCTACTGGCTCTAACAATCTGAATCTAAAAATTCCCCACTGTGGGAAGAATATAGGATATCTTAATCTTAATTTAGGAAAAAGTAATGCAAAAAAACAAAAACAAAATATCTATTGAATTGAATTGCTACTTGCCAACAGCATGACAACAATAGCAGTTCTTTACCGTTCAAAACCCGGTCAGTGCCCCTAAACATAACACCCCGTATCCTCCCCATTACTTCTGCTCTTTTTCGTTTCACTATGACAATCCATATTACCCTATCAGCTCTCACGGGTTAAAAGCTTTTTTGTTTTACTGCTATTTCTCTTTTCTTCAACCGGCTCCATTATCTTTAGCGCTGCAGGCTGCGGATGAGAGGACATCGCTAGTTATGGCTCAAAGTCGTGATGCCTCGGACAGGACAGCGCCATCCATCTCTGGCTTCCAACACGGGGAAACAATGCCCCCGGGTGCAACAAATCCACATTCATATCCGCTACGGGAAGCAGTTTGGACAAAAAAAGAGTGCAATTTCTTCCACAGTGTCTTCACCGAGTTCAGCTCCAGTCACTGTCCACGGCAATTTTCGTCAAAATGTTGCGTTGTGGCGGGCTAAAGCAGGTTTAATTTGGACTGTCTGTAGCTGACTGCAAAAATTGATCTAACAATTTGGGGCGGGGATTGTTGTAATAAATAATATGTCCAATGCAATAAACAGACGGGTTCAGTGAAGTGCCGTGTAAACTGTGATTTATTTACGCTATTATTGCGCTGAAATAGGACCGGGTGTCTTGGCGTAATTGGGAGCAAAAGTGAAGAATAAATAAGTTGAACAATGGCACAAATAATGAGCACTGAAATGTTAAATGCAGTAATTAAAGGGAAATATATGTTTGAAAGGTCCCGTTAGAACCAATACCCACATAATTATAATATATGCAGAGTCGGTTTGGACTGTAGCAATAACATATTTTTAAACCACACAATTATACCAGCCTTAATGTAATACTAATTATATCCAAGGACAAACCAAAAGCAATTAGGTCAAATGTAGCTGCTGAAAGTAAATCTGTTTTGAACTTGAACTTGTTTTCAATTGACAAAAGCAGCAAAAAAACAACAAAAAGTCTGATTAATAATAAGAACTGCATGAACAGACTTCAAGAACAAATGATCTTATACTTCCATTATTGTATTTTAGTTGATTCCCATTAACTGCATTACTTAAGATAAGAGTTCCTTTATTTGTCCCACAGTGGGGAATTTTGGTTGTTGCAGCGCACATACAGGACAGTAGTAAGAGCACACATATATAAATATATATATATACTTGAATCTACAAACTGGAGTACAAACTGGAGTACCTATTTTTTTCTCAATAGTAATGTAAGTAAAGTGGTGTTAGGAAATCACATCCTAATCACGTCCTAACACATGCATGTTGAAACTAGAGATAAAGCCAAACTGCTTTTATACACTGTATATTGGAAATGAGTTTCGCTTTTAGTTTTTATTTCTTACATATTTACATAATTTTCACTAGATGAGTTTTGTTTTATTGTATTATTAGTGGCCCTGGTCTGTGTAGAGCTCTGCATAAATAAACGTTACTTACTTATTCATCGAAAGCAAAATAGTTTTTTTTCAAATGTTGTTCAGTATTATTCACCCTATCTGTGGAAAGGGGATGCAATAGTCAATAGGTCTGTGAGAAAGACTGAAGCCTGGATCTGCAACCTGTCCGTCTGTGGGAGCGGACCCCTCTCAATGTCGGTCTCCCTAAGGTTTTTAGATGTTTTTCCAAATGTTTTTTTTTTTTTAGGTGTTCCTTGCCAATGTAGGAGGGTCTAAGGACAGTGATGATGTATGGACATTTATGAACATTGGTCATCCCGCTGCCTACGGACCAATGGCTCCTATGTGTTTTCTTATAATACATTTTCCTGTGTTTTAACTGTTTGATTCTCTGATCTGTTGTTGGTGAATCAACAATGTAGATAAAATTCCTCGACTGCTGTTGTGATTCAGGGCTATACAAAAATACATTGAATTTAAGTTATCACAAAACAAATCTTCAAAAACGAATGAATAATGAATATTTGTAACTCTCTTTTTGTTTTTGTGTTAGAAATAAAAAACTTGCAGTTCAATGCAAGTCTAATGCTGTACAGTGGGAGATAAAATTCACAACAATATTATTTCTATAGACACAGGCATCCATCACAGAAGTTTGCACCTTAAACCAGGACATCTCTCTTATAAATATGTGCACAGAGTAAACTGAATTCCCCAAGTCTTCGCCACACCATATTGCGAATGTCTGGAGCCGCGTGCGATGATAAACAGGTTGAGAGAAGCAGCCCAAACGGCACATATGAGTCAGGGGTGGACGGGAGGAGGAGGAGGAGGAGGGAAGGGGACAGATGGTAGAGAGGTGGCGCGGGTCCAGCCCTGACAATGTTCTGTATCATTATAATCTGCTGTAGTGTCCACCCCACTGCTGCGCCGGACAACACACCGCTCCCACTGCGAGCACAGGCTGGAGCTGAGGACGCGCTTCACGGGGGCAGCGGCAACAGGAACGCGGGGGATTCTACAGGCTTTAAGTGCCACTGGGATTTAGCACGAGAGCGATGATAACGCTGAAGTACCTAAACTTCACACACAAAACAATAAGATGAAGTACCTTTATGTATATTTCATAATAACAATAACAATGCATTGATTTGATATATTTGGACACTCAAAGACGTTCCACCTGTCATTATTCTTTCACAGCGGTGATAAACGATTACAGTAGCCACAGCTGCCCTGGGGCACAAAGACAGAAGCGAGGCAACCAGTATGTGCCATTGACACCTCCGACCGCCACTAGCCATTCAAACACACACCAGACTCGTTCTAGGCAGTGTGGGTGAAATTTCTTGCCAAAGGACATAACAAGAATTAGGCACTTTCAGCCGCAGCCGCCCCACTGTGGCACCTGGTGTTCCCAGAGGTCTCCCATCACAGTACTAACCAGGTCATGACCTGCTTAGCTTCATATGTCTGACCGGATCTAGCTTACACGTGCAGGTATGACCACAAAGATAGTCTAAACAGGTGACAGAGGCCAACAATAGACATGCAAAAACCTTAAGCACATTTATGGCATTGTATAAACATTGACGGACATTTGTCACCCACTGTTTGTTATTATTAAATCTCTGTGCTCGACCTGTGATTATCTGATCTGTTGTTGGCAGATCAACACATTTTGGTCCTGAAGTTCTTTGAGACGACTGCTGTTGTGATTTAGGGGAAGAAAACATTAAAGATGAAGACAGCATCTTCACAACATTTAACAAAAATCTTTCTGCTGGGTGTAGGTGTATATGTGTTTATGTAAATACAGCTGTGTATGAAAGGTGTAGACAAAATAGAGGAAATTAGTATAGCAAAATAATTAGGTCATGGTTGTGATGTTGTTTCTACAGTAGGGAAAGACACGACACGATTAAGTCTGTCGGAATAAACTGTCAAAACTGAATTCAAAGGGATGTAATAGGTCACAGACATGCATGGAGAAAGTTCCCCTCAAAGTTTTCCATCTGCGCAGGGCAAACGAACACCACGGAGAGAGTGTGGAGAGAGTTTACAAAGCATTGATCTCACACCTGCGTTTTAATCTCAAAATATCCCTGCATCCGTTAGAGCTTCCTAATTCTAGCTCTGCAAATACTACTGAGTCAGGAAGGGCTTACAGAGGCACACGGCTGAAGCCACACAACAAGAACCCAAGATGTGTCTCTGTTTGAAATGTGGAAAACAGTCCAAAGCCTAATCTCGTATACATTGAAATATGCATGTACTATTCTTGTACTTTGCTTTCAGGGCTGGCACGGATTTAGAAAGAAGCTTTTCAATTGATAATTTATACAATGGGTCGATTGAAAATGGATGGTGGTGATGGTCAGTGGGTCTGGAGGGGTCTCTCAGGGTTCTGCCCCAGGACCACTGTAATTTATCGCTTTTGACTAGTGTAGTTAAACCCAGAGTACCTCACTTCAAAACCATACAAATGTTGTATGTAAAACTCTCAAAACTATTGGGTTCTACTCCATAAATTTTCAAATGCCTTTCATTTTGGGATTACATTCAGATCTCACTCAGCCAATCAGCTCTCAGCACATAAAATATATATAATATTTTGACTAGAAACTTCTACAAGACTCCTGTTGGGACAAACCAAAAATAGTTATGAAAGGTACTCTAGCTTTAATTGCTCTCAGTGTGCGGAGTGGATGAATAATGAACAACAATGTGAAGTGACTCTGTGAATCTCCGTCGGTGAAGAGAGCTATAAAAATAAATATGACTTGGTTTACTTACTCAACTCATCCACCAACAATATTGCTTATGACGCACATTTGTAGATAGTTTGAATATGTCTGCAATAACCCAACCATACACATATACTGCATTTATTTTTGGAGTAGATAACTTGCCAAAACCATGCATTCAAATTCCATTGTGTACCTTTCATTATGCATTATGCTTTTGTAATGCTGCTTGTTGGACATCGTAGGACTTTCATGGTGTGGGACTAGCAAAGCATATTCTCTACATATGCTGAGCGGCACTTTCTGAGTGGAGATTGCATGTTCTCCCCGTGTCTGCGTAGGTTTCTTCCGGGTGCTCCACTAAAAACATGTACAATAGGTCTGGCATGTGTCTCCTGCACTGGCGACCCCGCTCTTATCTCTGTGTGGAGTGAGAGACAAATGCCCAAAAGTAACAATTGTAAACCGCTTTGAGACTCAGATCTGCAGTGAAAAGGCGGTATATAAATAAAGATTACTTAATTACTACTACTTACATATACAATAGGAGATTAGTGCAGACATACAACTAGTATTGTTTTTTTTTTTTATTGTGTAGTTGAGGAAGAAAGAATCCAACACTTTGTAACTGTGTCAAACGCTCTCTCTGTTTCCCTTGTTTCTTCTTACAAATAGCATCAGTGTAAAAACAGCAAGATACAAGAAAAGTATATACAGTATCACACCCTGACAATGAGTTCATTGTAAAAGCTATATTTACATTCCAAGAACCAGCTGCAGTTACACTTCTCCGAAATGCCATTATAAACCGTGTACACTACAAGGTTTTAGAAAAATGGTTCAAACTGAGTGAAGGACAGTAATGGGTAGAGAGAGAAAAGCAAAGTAAAGATAAGAAAGTAAGTGAAACAGGTTTGGCTGGTTGAGCGGGCTACTCAGATGTTTACTGCAAGCAGAATCAGTGTGTCAAATGTAAACATGAAATATGCAAACTCATCAAACCGCCTCGCCTCACCCTTTTTACTCACACACACTCTCTCTCCACTCCTCTCCAAGCCTTATTACACACAAATGAGGCCTTAAAACCAACGTATTCAAATGCTCTTAAAGAGAGGTGGAGGCCAATGGAAAACCACCGTAACAACTGCAGCCCAAACAATGCCACCGAGCATTCAAACAACCATGACAAAAAGCTTTAACATTTGTGGCAGCTGCATCTGACACTACTGATCTGACCACATGTATTTCAAGCTGTTTGAAATGAATTGAAAAAGAAACGACAGCAGCAGTCGTCTTCGAGGACTTTACAAGGTCGTCGCTTCACCAACAACAAGTCCAAGAATCAAACAGTTCAAAAAAAATGAAATGCAATAATGGCACACATATAGGAGCCATTGGTTTGTAGGGAGGGGGATGAAAAATGTCCATAAATATATGTCCCGGATCATCACTGTCCTGCTTAGACCCTTCTGCATCAACAAGGAACAACTCAGAAACTCATTCACCATGTTATTCTATTTTAATACAATGCATCACATGGAACGAATTGCCCATGGTCGGATAAACAAAGTCTGAATCTGGAACAGTTTTGTGGACTGTGATGTGTGTACACCTTCTGTTACGCTGCACCCACCTGCTCTACAGCCCAAGACTAACACACTCACATTTTGGTTATGGGCTGTTTTTCATCCACTCTTGACACTAAAGGTGCCTTTTAGCTCCTCGTATGTGGAGGCATTCAAACATTGCTCTGTTGGGAAAAATGTATTCACGTTTTCAGCCATAAAGGGGTCCAACTTTGAATCAGACACGTTTCAAATTACAAAATGAATATTGTTGCTTGATAGTTATGGAATCTAAGAAGCACTAGAAGTAATTTTAGGTTGCTGTGAATGTTGCAGTGGAAATTCATTGTAGGCATCTCTACTTTCTATTCTACCACATGTGTTTAAAAAAATGCCAAAAATCAAGTTTTCTCAATTTTGATTATTAACATGATACTCCAACACCAATCATGGGGCTACCTCTTCACATTCTGTTTTGGAGGGAAATAAAACTGAGCCAGGGACAGACCTCTTAAACGTTTAGAATGTTTGGCTTGATTTAATTTAACGGTAGATTAAACTCCCAGAGCAGTCAAATTGATGAGTTCTATCTTTGAAGAGCCAGTGCTGGTTGTGGGAATTTCTCAGGATTCCATTGGATTGAATGGGAAAATGAATGAAAATGAATGAAAAGGAGTTTCATAAATCTGGACATCGTAAGTGATTGCTCATGCCTGTATGCAAGTATAGAACAAATTTCAATAACAAAAACCAAATTGAGGATTAATAGATCCATTCACTCTCTCATAACATGCATACTTATACGGAGTACATGATTTTAGTGGTATGGGGAGACATACTCAGACATAGGGAGAACATGCAAACTCCACACAGAAAGACCTGAAGGAGATTTTTTGCTTCTGCATTTCACTCACAAGTAAACACATTACTTCGTCCACTGCTTCTCGAATGTAGAAAAAAAAGCAAACTATAGAACCGAAAATATCCTCCAGACAGCATTGGTAAAACGCTTTGTATATTCGTAGACGAGGGCGTCAAAACAGGTTGTATGTGAAAGCGTTCAAAGGGCAGCATCTCTGTGCGGTAAGTGTGAAAAGCTCTTTGAAAACAGGACCTATGGTGATCTTGAGAAACCCAATAACACCCTGATGAGTGGTTGTAATGGTGCTCGGAGAGGAGTAAGCCATATTTTTGCTCATTGCTTCCATAAACATGCTGTAATTATTCAGTGTGGCTAGCCGGCTGAAAGGATAATGTCAGAGATTTATGGCACCAATGGCACAAGTCTTAGATTCTCATCAATCCTCCGCACGGCTGCTGTTCGCCCGGAGAAGATAGGTTTTGAGCACCAAGCTCAGAGGCTAAGGGCGAAAAGATTTACACTTTTCAAAGCCAGTAAACTCAATAATTATGGTGGGAAAACGAATCAACATCAAATGAATTCAGGGCAGGTTTAAATTTGTTGGTTTGGTTCACATTAACTGGACCAGATCTGGTTCACTTGGGGTAACAAAAAGATATAGTTAATGCCTCTTTCTACACGATTCACTAAACTCTAGGACTCCCAGAATTCTGTCGATAACTCCCTGAGCAGGCATTTTGACGGCTCCCATTCATAACAAGGGAATACAGAAAGAAACCCAAAAAACGTAACAAAATTAAGTAACTATAAGTATTACAACTGGTTAACTTCAAACACACTTTATTTTACCGTGTGCTGAGATGGTAACTAAGACTTTAAAAAAAGCAA